CTAGAGGTTTATTCTGTGGTTCTCTCCCCTTGAGTGTGGCATTTAGTTTGTGAGCAACTGCTGGTGTGGTAAGCTCCTTATATGTTTTTTTTGTTGTTTTTTTTATACTGTTGTCGTAGTGGGTGGTTGGAGAAAAGAAAAACTTTTATTCTCTTTTCGTCTAATGTTTCTGTTTGACTTGTTTTTTTCCCCCTGCACTAAATGACTGTCAGCCTGCTTCTTTTTAGTCATATAAATGAGCCAGAGACTATTTCGTTGCCATCGTTTGACATGATGGGGTGTCAAAGTTGTGAAAATCAAGTATGCTGTAGACTGTATTGAGGTACATCAATTGATCCCAGTCTTGTTTCTCCTCTCCTCTCCTCTTAGAATAGTCGTGGATTTAGGGAAATTAAACTTGTTCTGAGTTATATAAATCAGTTGTTTTAGGGGGTTTTTTCTGGGTTTTTTTTTTTCCTTCTTCTGCTTCGCAATTTATGTCTTTTTTTTTTTTCTTTGCTTTTTATGTCTTTTAATCTCATTTCTTTAGGAATCTATGACCTAATCATCATCAGCCTTGATCACCAAGTGTCAGAGTCTAGGCCAGAGTATAAGCGGGGGGTGGTTGGCGTATGCTCTGGTGTGGTTTGCTCCTTCTTTCCTATCAAACATCTATCGTCCTTATCTCCCCTTCTTCTTTTTTATGTTTGTTACTCTCTTGTAACACCTCAAATCTTTTGGTGCTCATAGGACCTTATGCAGTTGCGAGCGCCGTAAAACCTCTGCGAAAAAAAAAATTTAAAAAGAAGGTTTTAACACTGGACACAGAGATTGGACAAGAGAAGAGGGGCATAAAAACTTTCCGACCCACATCAAAATAGCCTGAAAATGACATCTCATGTTTTTCCCTTGCACTGTTTCTTTTAATCGGTTTTGCCGAAAGAGAATATGAGTATCTGTTGAACTTTGAATGTAATTGTTGTGCTGTAAAAGGCTGAGTGTGAGTGGTTAGCAGATGCTCTGGTGTGGTTTGCTGCTTCTTTCCTTTCAAACATCTATTCTGCCCTAAGCTGATAAAATTCCTTTAAAAAAAATTTGGCGCCTAAATTTTTTATTTGCTAAATCGAAAGCCTGATCTGATCAGTTACCTTACTTGTGTGAAAAAATCAAAGTGGAACTGACTTGTCTTTGAATACATCGGAATTAAAAAATTGAAATCACTCTTATTTTTAAATGGTTGTGCCTACTAAAAACTTCTTTTTGTCGAAACTGCTGTGAAGAATAAAGAGATGTTTTGTCAGTTGACTGCAGTATTGTCCTTATCTCTCCTTTTTTTGTGTGTTTGTTACTCTCTTGTAATACCTCTAATCTTTGGCACTTATAGGACCTAATCGTGTTGCAAGTGCCGTAAAACTTGTAACACCTCTAATCTTTGGTTGTTATATGACTTAATCATGTAGCAAGTGCTGTAATACTCTTACTAAGTGGGTGGTTAGCAGGTGCTCTGGTGTGGTTTGCTCCATCTTTCCTTTCAAACATCTATCGTCCTGATCTCTCCTTCTTTTTATGTTTATTACTCTGCTGTAACGCCTCTAATCTTTGGCATTTATATGACCTACTAGTGTTGCAAGTACTGTAAAACTCTTACTAAAACATAAGAAAAAGATTTGTATTAATTGTATTTGTTGTGTTGTAAAAATGACCTTGTGTCTGTCTTTCCAGTGGCTGGGATGAGATTCCACCCCAGCATCGCATGCGGCCTGAGGGGGAGGGAATTGCCCAGAAGAACAGCTCCGACTCCATCAACGACATCATCCTACAGAACAACGCCACGCCCCCACAGAGGAAGGGGGTCAAGGTTCTGAAACACATGACTGAATCGGACTCTCCGTAAGTTTGAGGGGAAAAATTAAAGCTGAGGCGGGGATATAGCGTTCACATATTCGGGTAATGAAGAAGGAAGCTTAAGTTCTGGAACATGTACCAGGATAGACTTTCCAAAAGTCCAAGGAGACGAATGGTTCCTTTGGGGGGGGGGGGGGGGGGGGGGGGGGGTTGTACTTATGTACGGTGTTTTGCAATGAGAGGAAATTATAGTATCGTGGAATTTGCAAAGGTGGGTGGGTAATGACCTATGTGAGCATGGGATGGAGGGTAATTATGAGTAATAGAATTATAAATGTTTTCTGATAGTTATCATGGGGCTGGAATGTAGTTTTGGTCACCGTCTTTCCTGCAGTAGCCGTGTGACCTTTCTCTAGGACACTAATATTAAAAGAAATTTAACTAGAAATAAGGTTGTTGTTTTTGTTGGGGGGGGGGGGGGGTTGCTGGTACTGTTGTCCTACATCTTTTGCTTGCCCATCCTTTGTAAAAAACAAACCAAACCCAGATGAATAGTAGTTTAAAAAGGAAAGGCAAGTGAAGCTGGGTTGGGTTTTTTTTAATGTTACAATTTTTACCGAGTACATCTAAAAGGTATTACTTCTCTTGTTCTAAATCTACTAATTTCAAAGGTACGAATCAAGATATTTTTTTCAACAAAAAGAAAATGAAACAATCTATTTAATTTTTGGAAACATGCAACCTCTATAGGTAGTGATTTATAAATATACCAGCTGCCTTTTTCTTTTCTTTTGTTATTTTCTTTTTCCATTTATTTTTCTTTACCATTTTCTGTAACCATTCTTTTGGTTTGCCTCCTTCTGTAACATTTTTTTTTCTTTTCCACCTTTTTTTCTTCTACTTATGTACATGAAAGGGGTTTTCACCTTTTCCTTGAACTGGCTGTATTTTAAAAGGACTACTGCCAGCATAGTAATCATCATGTCATTTATTTTGGTTTGTTGTTTCAGACGCAATACCCCTCACCAGCGTGTGAGACTAGATGGCATCAAGAACCTGGAGCGAGCCAACAACCGAGAGGAAATGTCGGCCATCATGCATGGTTCGTCCACACCTTCACAGGCACGGCCGGCCAGCGGCAAGAAAGTGTTGCCCCACCTCCAGCGCTCCGAGCTGTGGTAGACGTCGTATGATGATGACACAACGACAGCGACAACGCTTCAGAGTTGTGGGGATGAAAGGATGGCCTTTTCTGCAACTCATTCAAAGGGCTGTTTTCTGCAGCTTAAGTCGCAAAGGCGGAGTTATGTATGAAGAGGCAGCTTACCTCAAGCGCTTTAGTGTTGTGAATTTTTGGATCATATTCGATTCATATTTTACCGCTTTAGGATGGATACGGAGAAGGATGTGTATTCTGGCCTTCTCTCCATCTTGCCTTAACTGAGTGCTGTTGGATGTTTTGTCCACGGAGCTCAGTGAGTGAGTGAGACGAGCAAGCCTTGTATCATGTAGGGATTTTATTGCATTGTATTCAGTAACTTAGCAGCAGAATGCCGTATGCTGGTCGTGTATCTATATTGAATGGTGGTTGGTTTTCAGAAACTGCGGTCTGTTTGTTTTTTGTCCCATGTTTTGATGATTTCTGTGGATGAGTTTGAGATGGCAGTTCTTTACTTTTTGTAAGTAGGTTTCAGGTCTCCTTTAATTTTTAGTTTGATTTTGAGGAAAGGGGGCATTTTTTTTCTTTCTTTTACTGATTTTTTTGGTCGAGGGGAGGGGGGGGCAGGATAGTTCGGGTGGAAGGGAGGGTCGTCATGTGAATGTTTGTGTTAAGTTATTGTAGTGAAGTTTTCTTTTTCAAATATATCTAATCTCAAGAGCAGCTGGCTATTTCATATATAACAACAATAATGAATAAGAACATTTTCTTTTACAACAAATGTTTACTTCTATCTTGTTAATAGTATAACTGTCTAACATGGTTCCAGAATAGCGTCTGTAGTTTGTCTCACAAAGTAGGTTCATAAAGGCATTTCAGATATGGTGAGTGCCTGTTTTAATAACATTTGCGTACGTATAGCTTCAATACTCATCCTGTACGTTTTGTGTCTGTGTCTGTTGAGGGATGTAATATTATATTGAGATTATAAATTATGCATCTGCTTCTCTGTATCAGAGATGTGTTTTTAATAGTTACAATATATTTACCTCTTTAATTACCGTGTAATCAGCGACTAACTTTTCACCGCGGTGCATCGGGTAGAGTGGTAGTCTTACGTGCCCATGTTTTGTCAGGTTTTTTCCTTTTCTGTTGGGAGGTAATCATGGAATCTCGGAAACACTCGGTGGTGATCGTCCGTCTGTGTGTGTTTGTGCGACTGCTTGTCTGCCTCTTAGGAATAGACGAAAGAGGTGTTTAACTGCCAGTTGTAGTCAGGATTGTTTAAATCGCGATTGATTCTGACACCCGTACTCTGCGGCCAGGGTGCTGGCCACCTGCTGGTTCCACATTCCCCTCAGAGGCAGTCGAGGATATCGAGACCTACAGGATAGACAAACAGCCCTCCACCCAAAGATATAGTCCAGTTGTGTGTTTAAAATGTGCTTTTCAAGGGCATCAGAAACTGGAACTTATTCATGTGGATTTTTATGTCTTGTGTTATTGCGTACAGAAGATTTTGTTGCGGAAACTTATTCTTGAATTGTGTTCCCCTTTTTCATCTTTTTCTAAATACTTATGTTATTGAGTCCGCAGTATTTTGTGTATCTTCTGGTGGTCTCGTAATATATATATCTAAAATTTTGAGGAATTTTGACGTACAACAGTATCATATCATGGGCAGTCAAAAAAGACTGAGCTAAAAAATGTACTGCACGGTCCCCCATGTGAAGAGATTCTGACATACTTTTACTAACACATTTTGACACATAAAAATGGTGAATGTTTTTTAATGTCGTGTACTTTGGTCGTTGAAATCATCCTGCTTGTTTGTCAGAATCTTTGATTTTGCTTCACGGCCTTGACATTCTCATCTTTGTACCTTTTGAGGGGGAGAGGTGTCACCGTTCATGTTGCTTGGTCGTCTTCCCTCATTTGTTATGTTTCATATCGATGCTGTAATGCTCTAACTATGTAGGCTAACTGCTTTCTTGAAAAAAATTTTAACATGACAAAAAATATATCCTTCTAATTAATATGATAAGAGAAGTCACACAAGTTAAGCCAGAGTACTTTGATATATTGTTTATCGTGCTTACTGACTCTTGATTTTTATTGAGGACCTACAATTCAGCCTCAGTAATGTTTTTAGAAGAGACAAATAGTTGGCAGTTTCCTTCCCGCTACATCTTAGAGCATAGCAGCATGGATAAACCATTGGTGCTGACTTCAAAGACCCTATACTATTTCTTGTTATGTTGCTACTGTTTGTACTTAGGTGACAGAGATGTATGCCGTTTGGATTGGGTTGTTTTGACTACCATTTATTTCAATTTTGCGCTTTTTGTTTGTATTGGTCAAATCTTTTGTAAGCATCAAAATGGTTAAGCTCTATACATCAAAATAGTTGCACTGCAAACATCAAAATAACTGCTGTAACCTTCAAACAGGTTGTTACAGATGTTTACTCCAAAGTCGCAATCTTTCTCAAGGCACAAAATGTACAAATTGATTTTGATCTATTCCAGATTGTATACCACTTTCCTAATGTTTTACATGGCCTGTTTGGCAGTGAAAGATCAAATAGAGGGGGTGTGTTGTTGTTGATTGCTTTTTTTTTTCTGATGTAGATCTTGAATCTGAGGTTATATTTTAAGGAAGTGGTTTTTACAGTGCTGCTACATCTGCTGTTATTGTGAAAAGCTTTTCTTTTTTTTATATTGCGCAACAATTATTTTTTTCTTTTTTTAGAATATGTATCTGCATGCGAGCGTGTGATCAGTTTTCTTGACTTCACAAGTATACCAGACTGCTACTCCTTGCTTGTCATGAAACAAGTCGTCTCAACTGAGCTGCTTTATTAAATCTGTGGCCGTTTCACTCACTCAGTTCCTCCATGTTAGGCCGGCCTAGAAACTTTCGGCTGCCTCCTTTTAATCTGAAACATGCTTTTTAGTGTGAAGCATAATCATGATAATGAAACACTTTGGGTGGGATTTCGGTTCTGTTTTGCTTTTTCAGAGTTGTGAACTGTCTGTTGTATTAGGCCACTGATGTTGTGAGAAAACTGCCTGGCTCTGGGAGGGGTATTGAGGTCGAGTAATGCACAACTTGTGAGATTTTTCGGTGTATTATATGAGGATGGACGATATATATATCATGCCATCTCTAAGAATATGTGCAACATTTTTTTTCATAAACTGTCTCTCCTTTCTTTAAAAAAAAAAATTTGATTTGTCTTTGATTTGGTTTTTGTTTTTTCATGACAAGCTGGTTGTGGGTGTGGAATTTCATTCTACACTTTTTAAAGCATGAAATGTACCAAATTTATTTCAATCAAAATTGTAGACATCCTTTCAAATCGTGATTCTGGTAAGAGTGTTTACATGTGAGGGCCTTGGAATATTTGTAGAAGCATCTGTTTTTGCGACTTATGTTTTGGTGCTTGTTTTTAAGGTCTGCTTACATGAGTGACCTTAGATTGTTCCTTTTACTTTGAGTCTGCGCTTTGTTGATCATATTGTTTGTTCTTAGATCTGATCTCAAGATTGTTTTTGTTTTTGTCTTTCCTCTTTTTGATTTTTAAAAAATTACCTACCCCTTCGTGCAGTACACCATCGGACAAATGGTAGTACCATGCTGAGATTTTTTGCTATATACAGAAAGGAAAAAGAAAAGCATTATTTGGCTCCTTTACTTTATAGAAGTTTTGTTACAAATTACATTATCTTTGAGAAGATGTTGGTTTGGTTCTCAAAAAGCTTATCATTATGTTGAAAATTTCCTGCAGAGTGGATTGAGACCCCATTTTTAAAAAGTTTCACAAGTTGGTGAAGTTGTAATACTTTTTATTCTGAAGGCCTTTGGCTGTATGGTTGTTACTTCTGCGTGGTGGTGTACTCCATGCCCTCACTGGCTGAAGAGCACTTTGCTTTTATATGCAGAGTGCACCTCGGTTCATTCAATGTCTATCATTTTGTCTCTCCATCATTTAGACAGTTTGCTCTACCATTCCCTCTGGCATGATGATGCAGATGTGTTCCTGCAGTGAGAATGCCGTTTTGTTTCTCGTTATTGTGTTGTTTTGATCTGTTTAGTGAGATCTTAGTCCAATTAAAGCATACATTATACAATTTTTTAATCAAGACTTTTGAGAAAATTAAAAATTGCCCATGGTCACAGAATATATGCAAGCAATGATTTAGATTTTTACTTAATGAAATATAAAGGTCCATTCTCATTTTTTTCATTGACAACTGATTTTTCTTTTGAGAAGCCATCATTTGAAGTCTTATCATTCTTTTGCATTTTGAATATTTTAGTAGTCATTTTGAGTTAAGACTTTAAGAAGTGTGTTGTTTTCTTGTCTTTGGTTCTTCCTTAATGAAGGCTGTGCGGGGATAAAATGGCAACGTGGAATGTAAGGCCACCTTGCGGAATTGTTTGAAGTTTTATGAGCCTTCAGGGGAAAACACAGCTTTTGAAAAGTACTTTATCTATTTATTCCCCCCCCCCCCCCCCCCCCCTCATTTCATGGAATTCCTGTAAGTAAAATATCTTTGTAAGATATTAGCTACATGCATTGTTTTGGCTCCAGCAGAGAGTTCTTCATTCTTTTTACAGACCATATGTGCGGCATTGCGGGAAAACCAGGTGTTGATCAAAATAATTAAATCAAAGCAACCAACATTTTTCTGCATGTTGGGAAATTTTTATTGAGTTATTCTTTTAGACCCAATGCCTTTTATGTCCTTTTGAAAACACATTTTTGTACAGGTTTTTATGAAATGCTGTTAAAGGCACAAAAAATGTCCAATTTTCAGTTCCCAAGGATGGAAGTCACCTAACTTCGCTGCATTTTCTCACTTATTACATCTCTGACACTAGGAGGCTCCCACCTCTTTCATCACAAATATCTCAATTTCCATTCTAGATAGATGGGTTTTTAAAAACATCAAAAGCAGGTTAAATGCTCTTGCTTTAAGGTGATATGATACCAGTAACTGCATGTAAAAAATACAAAAAATGGTGTGCACCTGATTTCACCGTGTAGTGACACTCATTATTCCTTCCCACATGTTTTATGTTTCATGTGTGGTGTTTACAACCATGTTGGCCTCGTTAGATCACGAACCCGCAGCATTTTTTGTTACTCTCACATTGGAGGTTAGTCAGAAGATCAACAGATTGGCACTAAACTCTCAGAGTCGAATAAGGATGTTTTTGATCTATTTAATGGGAAGATCTGACAATCTTGCTGCCTCTATGCCTTATCATTTGTGCATACATACATTTTTGTGAGAGAGAGAGAGAGTGCATGTATGGGCATATGCATGCATATGTGAGATTGTATGTACCCATGTTTGTATGTATGTGGGTAGATAGGTGAGTGCTTATCGACAACTTAGTGTAAGATTTCGCTGTATGTTGTTATGAAAAGTGACTTATGAATGTAAGATTTCGCTGTATGTTGTTATGAAAAGTGACTTATGAATGTAAGATTTCGCTATATGCTGTTATGAAAAGTGACTTATGAGTGTAAGATTTCGCTATGTGCTGTTATGAAAAGTGATTATGGTGGAGTCTTGCACACCTAGCAGTCGTAATATGCATGCATGTGCATGGGTTTGTGCTTACTTGTATGGGTATGTGTGTGGGTGCATGCACATTTGTACACAACATTGGAACGATGAGAAGCTAGTAGTGTGGACACATGGTTGCTAAATTTGGATGTTATTTATCACAGATGTGAGAATTGTTCCAGGGCTTTCTGTGACAGTGTTGTGGGGTTTTCTGTTGATCACTGTGCCTGAGGAGCCCTGGTGCTTTATGACAACTTCTTTGTGGGCAGCTATGTGGGCTGCTTGGCTGCTTGTAGAAAGTTCACACGGGGGCAGCAAGTGGGAGGTGGGACGGGCCACTCTGAGGTAGAGAGCGATTTGATGTGGAATGACTACCTAGTGGATAATTAGAGGGCTCCACTGATAGGTCCTACTTCTTTACTTTCCCTCTCTGTTGTTTCTGTCTGTCTGTCTGTCTTACTTTTCCCCAGCACTAAATGACCATTATTGTGTTGATGTGCTTCTCTTCACCCAAACATTAAATGACCAGTCTTTTAAAAAAGAAAAAGGAGGAGGTTTGAGTTGTTTTTTTGTTGTTGTAGTTGGGTTTTTTGGGGAGGGGGGTGTAATGATTTACCCTATTCCCCTCTTGAGCTTATGAAAAATGGCTTTTTCCACTTGTAGATTGTTCCAGGGCCTTTTTCAGTCTTGGCTGTTGAGAAGTTGATGTGTTCAGTGCTGCGACTTTTGAGACTGTTGTTTGTGAGCTACTGAGGTCAAGGGGGTTGCAGTTATGGAAGAGATGTGTTTGACTCTGGGATCTTTCATGAGCCCTTCTCTGCTTCATTTGAAGTAATGGTGTTGGCGTCTGAAGAAATGCCGAAAGGCAGTCAGCAGTGAATTTGGAATGACTGTCAGTTAGTTGAGAAGCTTGGCAGCTCGCATTTGTGAATGAATGTGTTTGCCCTTGCGGGACCTTTTGACATTTTTATCCATGAACTGTTGCCACTACTGCTGTTGTTGACATTTTTTTTTTCACCTATGTGTAATTTGTATTCGTACTCGTTTTCCAGATGTTATCCTAAAATAGTTTTATCTCTAAAAAAGAATTCAGTCTCATACGAATATGCTTATTCACCATGTTGGTTATTGCTTTCGTACTTACAATTTATTATTATTATTATAGTTATCATTACATTATAATAATTATTATTATTGTATTGTTATTATCATTAATTAAATTCTTGCAAAATATGTATGTGTTTGGTTTACTTGGTGTTGTAAAAAAATCTACATTTCCTGTGTGTTTTGGATATTTCTCTGTCTCTGTCTGTCTGTCTGTCTGTTTCTCTCTCTCTCTCTCTCTCTCTCTCTTCTCTCTCTCTCTTCTCTCTCTCTCTCTCTCTCTCTCTCTCTCTCTCTCTCTCTCTCTCTCTCTCTCTCTCTCTCTCTCTCTCCGTTCTCTCTTTCTTCTCACACTCACTTTCTCTCTTTCTCCCCCCCCCCCCCCCCCATACGCATATAGTTTGCTCAGTTATTGAGACCTGGTCAGTTGGTAACATTTTCAATGACATCAATCATTTTGTTGTACATGTACTCCACAGGGGAGGTCATTCTATTGTCTGACTTATCCCATTTGGATCTGTTAAGAGTGGGTGTTGGTGGGTGGTCTGGTGTGGTTTGTTCCTTCTCAAACACCTATCGTCCTGATCTCTCAGTCAACAGATGTGCTTTAATGGTACGTCATTAATCTGAGTTATCACACTCAGTCAATTCATGGCAATGGCAAAGCCCACTAAAATGGTTTTTTTGTTGTGAAGTGCACCAAAAGTTATGTCCTGGGTCCCATACTATATACATGTATTATTCTGTTCACAAACCGTTCGGAAATATTGTTAGAGCTCATGGCATACACTTCAATGTACCGTATATGCTGATGAAGCCCAGCGTGAAGTTAATGGTGAAGGTCAGTCCTTTCACAAAATGACTTAAAGTCCTAGGGATTTCATGAAATAACTGAAATTTGGTTCATTTAATTCAGTCTGACTGATTTCTGTCAACTTGTGTAACTCAGTATGTTTAAAAAGACTTTTATTCAAAGACGAAGTCCCGCCATTAACATTATCTTCTCAACAAGTAGGAAATTATTGATTGTGGTGATGTGAAGAAACTTATAAAGAAACGTTGGACACCCGACGAGCTTCCAGTTTACTACGCCAGCACAGAAGATACATTCGTCATCATCAAGAAAGCATATGTTGAAATGAAACTGGTCTTGGTGGTAGGGATAGAATGATGAAGGAACTATCTGTGAAGTATGCTAATAATATTTTGAGAGATGATGTCGAGCTATTCAAGTCATTGTGTCAAGAATGCCAGAAAAAGAGAACACACCCCACGACCAAGACAGTGGTTGTGAAACCGATACATGTACTGACGATTGAGTTTGCATTCAGATGACAGCTTGACCTGGTCGACATGCAGTCCATGAGCCACAACAGTTTTAAATGGATATTGGTTTACCAAGACCATTTGACCAAATTCTACATTCTACGACCACTTACATCAAAACGAGCCACTACGGTAGCCTTCCATCTTGCTGACATCTTCCTTTGGATAGGCACACCAGTTGTTCTCCAATCAGATAATGGTTCTGAGTTTACCGCCACCGTAATTACAGAACGTGCAGCCCTGTGGCCCGACCTGGAGACTGTTCATGGCAAAACCAGACATCCTCGGAGACAGAGTTCTGTTGAAAGCCAACAGTGATATCGAAGAAATAATTGTTGGACTAACTTCAACGTCGTTACCAACCGAAGTGATCAGCCGACTTGAGCCAGAATAAGATTGGCTTGCAACTCTAGCTCCGCCAGAAACGTCACAATCCGAAGAAACGCCACCATCCAGAAGTGACGAGTCAGTACCGCAGCCATCGACCGTCGAGCAACAGTCTGAGTTAAGACATCGCCTACCCACCAGCCTCCTGCAACTGACCAACTTGGCCAACAGCCATCCGACATTATCAACCAGCGATTGGCAGCTAGCGCATCACAAACTGAACAAGCCGAACGAATGGTTTAAGCATAGCAGAGTTGAACTTATTGCTGGCGAAATAGGAGAAAATGTTGTTGTGCCGATTCCATTAGTAGATCGTGGACGTGATGATCCGCGAAAGATTCTTGGTGATTTTATGAGTCGCGATGACAGTAACAACTACAGAATATCTACAAGGAGGGGTGTTCCCAAAGGCAGATATTCCTGCAATCAATTTGACGTTTGTCCCGAACGGCTTCTGAGCGAGAATGACATCAACCAAGACACTGAGATTCTCTGAGACATCCTGTGATTCAAATGTCGATCTCTGGATGATCAAGCTAAATGCCAAATAAAAGGATGCAAGTGTTTTAAAGCGCAACTTGTCTGCTACATCCGATGCCACAACAGTTTGAGCTGTTCTAACAAATAAGACGGTTTGTTGTGTTTGAAATAATATAACTTTTTCAATTTTTAGGTTTTTAATTCCCAACCACAGAGAAAAGTATCAATATTGTCAATGAAAGGTTTTTAGCTTTAATTTCAAAAGGTTTTTAATTCAACCCTCAGCCACATAAAAAAAACCTGCCAGTCATTTCATGAAATGGCTGGCCATTAATTTCGGTCATTTCTTGAAATGACTGAAAATTTAAGTCATGACTGAGTTCACAGTCTCACTGTAACATAACATGTCTTGTCCAAAGTCTGATTGTAATGTATGGTGACTAACTTATTGACCAGCTTGAGTTGTTATATTGAAAAATTTTCAAATGTGGATGGTTGACAACTAACTAAAGATGAAGGAGGAGAAGAAAGAACTATTATTGTGTTACACCAACTGGGGGATTGAACTCAGCAACATTGATAACATCAGGCTAGTTTCTGAATCTGTTTCTTTTAGTGAATAGGCAACAAACAAACAACAACAAAAAAGAGAAAAGAACAAGAGAAGAAAAAAACCCTAACAAACAAAAAACAAACAAACAAGCATACAAACAAACTAAGTATTTACCTGGACCTTAAGTTTTCAATGGAACATCCAAACAGTCACCTATAGAAACAAAAGTATTATGGATTGTGAAGACTAGATGAAGGTCAATTAATTTCTCACCCTTTGAATCAAAATTATCTCCAGATTCTCATCTCAGCATTTCTTTGATCGAGGCTTGACTATTGTAATTCTCTTCTTGCCAATTCAAGTTTGGACATGATTAACAGACGACAGTGTTTCCAAAACCAAGCTGTACAACTGGTAAATCTTCAAAACACACCACACCTTTATTGATAAAGTTCATTGGTTACCAGGCAGTTACAGATTTGCTTCTTTACGTCACAAGTGAATGAGCAACAACAAAAAACAAAAAAACCCCACCCACAATAAGACCTTATTGAGTCA